CCAGGGCAGTGAGGGGCTTATTAGCACCGGGGCCAGCAACTGCGGAGGTTGTGCCGGGTCCCCCAGCAGTGCTGGCCCACTCAAATTCTCACCGGGTCTTAGCTGCCTCCCCACAGGGCAGGGCTTGGGACCTGAAGCCCACCATGTCTGAGTTCTCCCCCACTTCCCTCCTGGTGGTGGGCTCCCGGGAGGCCCAAGCCTCCCCGACGGGCACTGCCCCCTGCTCCATGGTGCCCGGTCCCATCAACAGCCCAAGGGCTGAGGAGTGCAGGCACGGCTCGGGACTGGTGCACGGCTCGGGACTGGCGGGCAGCTCCGCCTGCAGCCCGGGTGCAGGATCCACTAGGTGAAGCCAACTGGACTCCTGAGGTGGATGGGGACTTGGAGAACTTTTATATCTAGCTGGAGGATTGTATGTGCACCAATCAGCACTCTGTATCTAGCTAATCTGGTGGGGACTTGGAGAACTTTTATGTCTAGCTCAAGGATTGTAAACGCACCAATCAGCAGTGTCTAGCTCAAGGTTTGTAAATACACCAATTGGTACTCTGTATCTAGCTAACTCTGTGTCTAGCTAACCTAGTGGGGACTTGGAGAACTTTTCTGTCTAGCACTATGTGTCTAGCTCAAGGATTGGTAAATGCACTAATCAGCACTCTGTCAAAATGGACCAATCAGCTCTCTGTAAAATGGACCAATCAGCAGGATGTGGGTGGGGTCGGATAAGGGAATAAAAGCAGGCCACCCGAGCCACCCAAGGGCAGCCGGCTGGGGTTCCCTTCCACGTTGTGAAAGGGTTGTTTTTTCACTCTTTGCAGTAAGTCTTGCTGCTGCTCACTTTTTGGGTCGATGCTGCCTTTATGAGTTGTAACACTCACCGTGAAGGTCTGCAGCTTCACTCCTGAAGCCAACGAGACCACAAGCCCACCCGGAAGAACAAACTACTCCAGACGCGCTGCCTTTAAGAGCTGTAACACTCACCACGAAGGTCTGCAGCTTCACTCCTGACACGGAGACCGTGAACCCACCAGAAGGAAGAAGTTCCAGACACATCTGAACATCTGAAGGAACAAAGTCTGAATACACCATCTTTAAGAACTCTAACACTCACCGCGAGGGTCAGCGACTTCATTTCTGAAGTCAGTGAGATGAAGAACCCACCAATTCTGGACACAACAGGATGTGAGACTCTGGACCTGGGGAGCAAGGGAGGAGAGAACACCAGAGAACTGCTCTCTGGGAGTGCCCAGCAGCTTGTTGGGGCATGAGGGTGTATTCCTGAGTGCAGGGGTGAAGGGCGCTGCTGCCTGAAGGGATGTGCTCCCCACTGTGGGATTGCGGACGGGCACTGGAAGCAGTGTGTTCCGATGTTCACCTTGGAGGCTTTCCTTCTCAGCATTGTCTCCTCTTCATTTATCCTCAGAGGGCATGAAGCTCTGACGTTTCACAGCTAAGTGCCAGGCTTGTGTGGGGACTGAAAAGCGAGAGGGTGCCCACATGTTGGGAGAAGCTAAGCAGAAGCACGGGGCACAGGAGGGACCTCACAAACGGAGGTCAGCAGGGGAAGGCTCCAATCTCTGCTCTGAAACCAGCAGGGAAGAGCTGCCCCTGGGGGACCGGAGCACATGCTTTTCCTGGGCTCACAGCAGTCATAACCAAGGGGAATCTGCAGTCCTAACAGGGGAACCTTCTGGGAGTCATGGCCGTTCTACAGCCACAGAAGACGTCCTCAGTTATTTTTATCTGCATAGAGAAGACCGTGGTGATCTGGGAAGACGGGAAAATTAGGAATACTTGCATTTCCCTACATATCTCTCATTAAGCACTTTATGTATTCACTCATAGACACCTGTTCCACACTACTTTGGGTCAGGCTGTGTCAGGGTGTGGAGAAGAAAAAGACCGAGTGTCTGTCCTTAATAATCTTTCTCTGGCTATTGCTGAATGATGATGAAGATGGTGATGATGATGATGATGATGGTAACCATGACTATTACAGCAGAATGTTTCATGAAGGAAGTTCGCAGCCTTTAGGGGAGACGCTGACTCTGCCCAGAACTGGCCCCATAGCTCCTGGATGAACTTTGGTCTTGGACTCCTGCTCCTGGAGTCAGCTGTGGGCTGTGGGGTCCTGATGAGAAAGAACAGGAATCTCAGGAGGAAGGAGAAGCACTCACCCTTATTCTGCTGAAATAATTATATTCTGAAAACTCCCCAGAGTCAAGAGCAATGTGCATCTAGGTTAGAGTTGGAATTTTGGAGATGAAGTCAAGTTTCCGCCCAGGTCATTCATCTTGAAATTTCATGTCTCTTTCTCCATGTTCTTTATCCTGTCATCAGGGTGCCTGGTCCACTGGACCGTAGTTTTCTGGAGGACAGAAACTGTCTCTCGGGAGCTGAGCATGGGTCTGAGTATCCTGCACGCACTATCTCAGCTGAATTGAACACGGGCACAGCACCTACTTCAGAGGGATTTCCTGTTTTCTGCCAGGCAGCTTGAAGTTAGCAGCTGTGACTGGTCATGGTCTCCCTGAGCAGGGGTTTCTGGTTGGCAGCCTCAGCCCTCTCCTCTGTGCCCTTTAATCCCTGCCTTTGGGCCTCCTTGATTCTCCCACTCGGGGACAACAGGACCCACGTTTCCCTCTCTGAATCCTGTGTTCCTGGGGGACTCTGGTGCTAGAAAATGGCCCACCTGCTTCAGCAGCCAGGAGCTATGTTCTCAGCTTGACTGCTCCAGAGGGAAAAATGATATTTCCTGGCAGTCAAGTTCTCAGCTGTAGCCTGTGCCTCTGAAAGATTTATTCCTTGGACAGGCTGCTCCAAACCTTCAGTCTTCTGGGTGTCTTCCTGACTCAGCTCCCTGGGGCCAGTGCCCAGAGGGAGTGCTGGGGCCACTGCTGCACAGAATGTGAGCCAGAGTAGTGGGCATCACTGATTTTCCTGATCCAACTATGGCCCTGGAAAGGCTTCAGGAGACAGAGGCTGTCCATCTCAGAGCTTTGTCCATTGAAATGCTAGTGTTCTGATGATGTAGATAGCATGGGAAGAGTTAGGACCAACAGGAACTTTACTGAATGTGTCTGTGACAGTAAATGTGGCATGTATTTAGAAGAAGTGAGCACGCATGTGTGAGAGTGTGTGCCTATGTCTGTGCGTAGATCTATGCAAGTATGGGTCTGTATGAAAACACCCCCAAAGATTAGTATTTTAATATATAAATCTGGAAGAAAACACTGAGCTACAGCTTTGGTTGAAATATTTTCTTAACTACTGTACTGTAATGAGGAAAGTACTTGAACAAGAGAACAAAATATAAAGTCCAGTTTCCTTTTGAGTGGTCCATTGCCGCACCCCAAAATCTGCTTCCTGTCCTGTCTCACTGCCCTGGGCACCCATGTTCACACGTGCTGAGCCGCAGGCAGATGGGGTGTGGCTGGCTCCTTGGGGCCCACGCAGTCCTAGGGGGCAGCAGCTGTGCCTTTGCTCCACTCCACTTAGCTCTACAATTAGGAGAACTGCTCTCTGTGACTTTTAAACTTTGAGGGTGAAGGGCATGATGCCAATTTTTGGGTGTGGCATTTCTGTGAATTAGCAGGAGGCAGTTGGGGAGCTATAAACGTGCATATTACAGAGCAGCATGGAGCAGCTGGGCCTCAAAGGCTGATGTTTTTCTTATATCCCACAGTTTTATAGCTCCATACCTTTAAATATTCATTTCCATTGCTCTACATGAGGACATAAAGTCAGATTGTGCTCTCACAAGTCCTGGTGGGTGCCCATCTCTGCAGTCCTCACAGCGGGTTCCTTAGGAGAGCCGGGCTGAGTCTTATCATCCCCCACTCTGCAAAAAGAGGGACAACTCCAAGCCAAAAGAGCTGGCCTGGCAGCCCCTTGGAGGGTGACATAGTTGAGTCAGCCTGCCAGTGTCCTCTGCTGAGGGTCACCTCTACACACTCTTCTCCTTATTCTTCTGCTATCAGAAGGTTAATGCATTCTATGTATACGTCTGTGGGTAACTCATAAGGGAAGAATTAGACACCCCTCTATGTTTAGAAACCCATTTCCTGCCACAACTTCTGAAACATCCCGGGTGTTCAATTACTATTTGTCGAACTAACGAATGATTCTCCTTTTTGGTGACTTATATGTTCTTCAGTGACTGGAGCTTTCACATATAAACAATATCAGGTTGTGAATAAATATGCAATGGGAAGACACAGTTACGAAGCTACACTGTCAGATGAAGTTACCAAGTTATTCGTTCACTTCTTCACTCACTCCCAGTCCCCAGAGCCTGGCTTTCTTCCTCGACATGAGGCCTGCAACTTAGAGGTTAACAGAGGCCAGACCAGTCACAGGCTCCTGAGCTTCAGCTGCAGTTAAGGATTCTGTTCAAGCATGTGGTCCTCTGCTAGCCGAAACTCTTTGGTTGAAGTGAATGCCTTGGCTGCAGCAACTGCTTGTAATTTGTAACAGACAAGCACAAGCAGAATGCTCCAATTTCTTGGTACTTGGACATATTGTAGAATATCTGATCAGGCTGCATTGTTTTAGGTCTGTACACAGCCACTGTTCCTGGATGGTTATAGAGTTATCAGGAAATCTGGATGGTGGGGAGGACCCTGGGCAAACATTGAACTCAACCATTTTATGACTGTGTGTTTGGTTTTCTTAGAATGACACCCTTGCACACTTCATCTAAGGTCAAACTAGTGAAAGGTAGTCATTGAATGAGAAAGGAGGCTCAGATTCAGAGTCATAAAATGTTGAAACGTGTTGTTACACTATATAATGATAGAACACCTGTCCACCCCAGCATTTCATAGACATTTACAATTTCCTGCGTATACTGTATTTCTTTAAAAGACCTGGACACAGCACACTGAATGAACAAATTGTCCCCACCCTTGTGCTGCTGGTTTGATTATAAGAATGTTAATGACATGGGGTAGAGGCAGGAATGTGACCAACAGGCCCCATGTACTGGTATTTTCCACGAAGCGTGAAGCTACAGCCGCCAAACCCACACTTGGCTCCTCAACCTCACATTATCTTGCAACCTATGACTTAAAGGGATCACTTTCCCTTCCACATACTTCTATGCAGCTTTCTCTTGTCAGTGTTGCCGCTGACACCAACTGTATGACCACAACTCCTAAATCACAGGTTACAAAGCTCTTCGCCATCCACCAGTGACCTTGATCTTCACACCACTCCTGTGAGGTAGACCAGGTGCCTATTGCCTTCTATTTTTACAGATCTAAGAAATAAGGCTCAGCGAGATGACGGGACTTAGAACCATCTCATTGATTGGTGAGTGGGCTGACACCAGAACTCAGGACTTCTGAATTCTAATCCTATGCTGTCTACACTGCCTTCCTGGGGTACATGCTGCCACTTAATCCAAGAAGTATCTTTCGGAAAAGGAAGGTCAGATTCTCCCTACAAATGCTTGACTTTAACAAGTACTTTTGGTGATCATCTTCAGAGCGTCTTCAGCCAACACTGGTTTTATCCCTGAGCGCTCTCATTTCCAGCCTCTCCTCTCCATTTCTGGGTGCTGACCTGATGCCATTCCAGCATTGCAAATGAAGCTCTTCCTGATGCCTCCTTCTGCTTTCTGCCTTTCTATGTATTCTTTAAGAAGACTCGAAGTATGTGGGCCTGGGTGACGAGAGAGTGTGAGTTGTTTTTGCTGGCCCCTCCTTGGAGAGAGATTATAAGACAGAGCATAGGTGAGTGCAGCTATGCAAGGTGCACAGCGGGGGCTTAATAAGGTTAGTTACATTTCAACTTCAGAGTCAGAACAGTGATCTAAGGTGGAGAATGGGCTAAATGGTGAGTTAAGGACATTTCCCTTTGGGGTCTGCTCTTTCTTCTGGCAATTCTTCCAACAACTATTTTCGTCTTCACAGGATTTGTGCTTTTCCAAACATGTTCTCAGAAAAGGCATGAAATTCACCCATTCCGAGACTGGTGCTGGTTTTTGGGCAGACTTGAGGAATGGGAAGAAGTACAGCCCAGAGTAGGGGAGAAAACTCTGGGGACAGGATTCCTGACATTGGCCAGCACATGGACCAAGGACCAAGCCAGGAGAGTGGATCTTTTTTGTATTATTTTTTATTTTTTTATTTTTTGAGTTGGAGTCTCGCTCTGTCACCCAGGCCGGAGTGCAGTGGTACAATCTCGGCTCACTGCAACCTTGATCTCTCCGGTTCAAGCGATTCTCCTACCTCAGCCTCCCAAGTAGCTGGGATTATAGGCATGTGCCACCATGCCCAACTAATTTTTGTATTTTTAGTAGAGGTGGAGTTTCACCATGTTGCCCAGGCTGGTCTCAAACTCCTGAGCTCAGGTGATCCACCCACCTCGGCCTCTCAAAGTGCTGCGATTACAGGCGTGAGTCACCATGCCTGGCCAGGAACGGATCTTTGGATGCCCACCTTAGGGTCAGCTGCCCAGGGGATGCTGCTCTGGGAGGGGTGAATAAACTTCTTCTGCCAAGCTGGGGGACTGGCGCTTGGAAAAGATTTAAGATGCTGCAGCATTGCACCGGTAAGCTGTGCTTTCCATTCAGTTCTGGGCATATCACAATTCCTTTCCTTCCAGAGCCAACTGAATTAATTAGGAAAGGGAAAGAGCCCCAGTGACTTGTGCTCTGACAAGCCCTTGGTCTCTTTGAGCTCTGGTGACAGGCAGCCAGACTTCAAAGGCCCCCATGCCCTCCTCCTTTTACCCTGCCTGTCAAGAGAGGCTGCTGAGGAGCGGTGCTGGGGCTGGAGGGAGGGCGGCCAGGGAGCAGGTCTCCCTGACATTTGTCCTTCCCTCACTGCCGACAGCCAACTCCAGATCAGCTCTGTACCCTGCTGCCACAGCCCTCGGACCTCTCACACCAGGGAGACAGCTCGCCTCTAAATTTAGCAGGAGGAGGGGAAGGGGAGGTCAGTGTGTCCAGGGTGAGGGCTGAAGGTGGAAGTGGAATAAAAGAGACAGTGGACAAGTGGGGGCAATGAGAGAGAGAGGAGGGAGGGGAGGGATTTCTAGTTAGAAGTAGCTGTGACAGATTGAGAGAGGAGAGTCTTTTAAAGAGTTTGTAAAATGTAGAGTGTGACTCTTTCACTGTTAGTACCAGGGAGCATTACTAATGTGTCCTAATGGAACAGTCAGTTTGCATTTGTGAGGAGGCTGAATTAGAGCTCTCTTTTAATGCAGCAGGAGCCTGTTTGAGCAACTAAAGCTACTGAAACTGGAAGAGGACCAAGGGCATTGCCATTTCTGTCCAGTATAAAGCAAGGCGGTAGACGGGGTGCTTATTAAACACGTACTATGTGTCCTGGCTGGAATTGGCATGTTCTCTTACTTAGCTCACTTAATCCTTACAACAGTTTGGTGGGATAGCTTTCAGGATGATTTTCTTTTTTTGAATTATGGATTAAGCTGAGGCTCGATTTGTAGACTTTAAGTGACGAGTTTAGGATTCGGCTAGATCTGTCTGATCTTAAACCCGTGCACTTTCCACTCCCGTAATAAATGAATATGAATACCCTGAAATCCTCCTACCAGAATGCAAGTCTATGGTTCTAACCTCTTCCTTCAAAAAAAGTCACACTTCTTACTTTCCTTTTAATGGAGATGACAATTATTTGTCTTTTTAATTCCCTGGCAATTTTGTTTCCATACTTTCTTGACTTCGGAAACCATGTCCGTCTTGAAGGGAGTGCAGATGACTTTCAGAAAGTTTTGGTCACCAGGACAGAGCCGAAATGTTGAATCAAAGCCCCTGTGAGCTGGTCAGAGCTATGATGGCTGATGTCTTTGATTACCAGGGCAGGCCTACATGCACTTTCTCAAAAAGGCACCTTTGGGAGGGAGAAGCATTTGGATGGAAACATGTCCCTAACCAGATAGGAGCACCACGTCCAGCAAGGAAACAAAAACAACATGGAAACAACCTTTGAATTCTTCAATTCTTCAAGGAAGCTTTTTTTTTCCCATTAAAAACCCAGCTAAATGACAACATTGAGATTATTCTACAGTATATTTATCTGTGATTGTGCTATTACCACCTGTTGCTAGGCAACCAAGAGTTTAAGCAGTCATCAGTGAGAGGTTAATGTTCTTAGGTCCTACCTCTGGCTCTGCTGACATTGACCTGGGACTTGATGCTTGGCAAGAGATGTTCAGCTGCCCTAGACTTCATTCCGGAAATGTGCTTAGGAGATGATAGGCACGTCCACACATGCTTACCTTGACCAAACAGGCAAATGAATGAATGAAGGAAGGAATATCTTTAAAGGAGCTTACTTTTTTTGAGATAACCTCCCAGTGAATTCTGGAAGTAGTTTTTTAAAGTGGAGCAGGCCTCTGAAAGTCATGTGAGTGTGAGTGTGTATGTGTGTGTGTGAGTGTGTGTGTGTGTATGTACTGTCATATGCTGCATAATCATGTTTTGGTCAATCAGAAGTCATCTATATGATGGTTGTCCCATAAGATTATAATAGCACATTTATACTGTACATTTTCTATGTAGGTATGTCTAGATACACCAGTACTTACCATTGTGTTACAATTGCCTATGGCATGCAGTAGTCACATGCTGTACAGGTTGGTTGCATAGGATCAATAGACTACATCATACACCCTAGGTGTGTAGTAGGCTACACCGTGTGACTTTGTGTAAGTATACTCTGTGATGCTTGCATAACAATGAAATTACATAATGATGCATTTCTTGGAACATATCCTTGTAGTTAAGTGAGGCATGACTGTACGTGTGTGTATGTGTTTGTTATGTATATGTGCATAGGTATGATGCACATGTGTGCATGTATGTATATGTGTTTGTGTGTGTGTGTGCACGCTCATGTGTGTTTGGAGGAGGAGAGAAAGGGGAAAGGCGAGGTCAAGGGCAGTGGAGAAAGGAAAGGTTGGAGGGCTTCGGGGCTCTGTTGACTACATATGCTGCCATGCATGTCACCCTGCAGGTCTAGCGCCTGGCCCCTCCATCCCAGTATCATGCTTTCTCTGCATCTTATGATCACTGTCGTTGCCTCCAGTGCCCAGGGCCAACTGGAAAGGTGAGTTGTCTCCTGTCTGTCTGGCCTGGCCAGGCTCCCTTCTTCTGCTTCACCTGGTAGATGGAGGTGCTGACCTCCAGAGTGCCGGGAGCATAGGATTCCCTGCTCTGAGCACGGGTGCAACCATGTGAGCAGTGCAGGCCTGTTTGTTGTACAGGAAATGACTGCTGCATTTTGAAACATGGTTCATTTCTAGCTAACGTGTATTGTTTCCCCTGCAGCTCTTTTTATGTTAAAGCCTGTCTCTCCCAGTGTTATCTGACGGTTTCCTAGGAGATGCCCTCCCCGGCCAAGCTCTCGCTGATGCTGGAGTTGGATATTATCTGTAAGCACTAAATACCTGCTTTGTTCACTCAGTGCTGCTGCTGTGCTCTTTTTCCCTGGGCTGGTGGCTAGTTTCTTGCCAGTATCCCTCATGGCTGTGCAGAGAGAGGGAAAGGCTATATCTGCCTTCCCACATCTTCCACAGCTATGGAGATGGGCTCCCAATCCTCCCTGATGGATTTTACTTACTAGTAATTTCACATTTCAAGCTAATATTAAGACCTTTTTGGTTGCTGGTAGATTTTTCAAATAGAGACAAATTTGAGGCACAGCAACATTGCCAGTATTTGCATGATGAACAGAGACCCCTTTCTCAGAAGGACAAGTTAAGCAATTTTTTTTCTCGTTATACCTCAGCTTCTGTATCTGTAAAAGGGAGCCTCTGCAGTATTATCACCATGAACAGTTGCTGCAAACTTCAAGTAGGAGCTTTACTTCCTCTTTCTTAGTCTTCTTTGACAGAAAGGTCCAAATATAGTTCCAGGCTGGCTTTTCACAATGTGATGAGAAGACGGCATTCCTGAAGTTTGAGGGAGGCTGCTGTCACCATGGGAAGAGGGTTTGACAACTTGGGCAGTAGCCACACAAAGATACAATTCCTAATCTGTCAAAATTGCTTTTTCTTAGAAGCTCTGATTATATTAACACATTCTCTATCTGATCTGATGGTGTCTCTTTGAAATGTTCTCCTTACAACTGTAACCAAAATCAATCCAATTATATTTAAAAAGTATGCATATATATTACTTCTGGAACTAAATTTAAAGGTAAATCACATATATCATGGTTTAGCCATAGATTTCTATGAGAAGTGGTGGAAGAGGACAAGTAGGAATTAAAAAAAAAACAAAAAAACAAGAACTGTTAAAAGATAATGCGATATCAACAAGTCTCTGAGTATAAAATCACAGTTCAACTGTTTTCCTTTATGGTACAAGAAGATATAAAAGAAAAATAATAGACCATTATTTAAGGGAAGTAAATAATCCCAAGAGACTGAATAAGTTAGTATTTACACCAAAGGAAACTTTCTCCCTGTCTCTTCTTTTCCCCAACCCTCAGCCCTGTCTTAGCTGGAGATCCGTGGAGGGACAATGTGTTTTATTGAGTTAATGACAGAGTACCCTGAAAATGGAATGAGCACAAGTGCTTAACACATGACAGAAGCTAGGCCTACTCTGCAGCTGTTTGCAAATAGAATTATGCCACCTCTGGATACATGACAGCTTCATGTATCCATCCCGTAGCCATTGATCTTCGTCTCTGGATGGACCAACTCTGTGGACAAAGTTTAAGATGACAGAGTAGAACATGAGTAGCAAGCTGAGCCCAATTATCATGCTCCAAACTCAACTTCACAAGGCGCTACCATGACACGTCACCCAGACCATCTTCACATTTCTAGAACCTTCTAGCCATTGAGAAAGACCTGAAACTGGGGACTTGGGAGTACCATTCAAAGAGGTGGCATTCAAACGTGTTAGATTGAGACCCTAAGTAAGAAATATATTTGATAGTGCCATCTAGTACACATATACATATATAGATGTACATGCGTATCTATAAAAATGAAACAAACATTTCATAAAACAATCACCTCACTATGTAGGATGTACTAGGATATTTTTGATTCTATTCCATTTCATTCCATTATAATTAATTATGACTGTAATTAGTTTTACTACTCTGACACAAATCTAGAACCAGGGTTGGGGTAGACACGGGACTCCTTTGGACAAGTCTTCCAGGTTGTCCTCTACCTGCAGACCTGAAGGAGACTCATGAGGCTCTTGTAGCAGCCGCTACCATATTTGAATGACATCTGATAAATATTTTAAACAATAAAAAAAGCAGGGCATTTAAAAATTTTTATGGCTTATCATTTTGCTTTAGTGTAATATGAATAAAATACAAGTTATTTTGAACTGAACTTTAATACTATAATTATTATAGTAATTTAGTTATAAGTCAGTTATTGTCTTTAAATTTATTTTGGAAGATGGATGGAAGTAACAAATATTGGCCAGGCGCAGTGGCTCATGCCTATAATCCCAGCACTTTGGGAGGCTGAGGTGGGTGAATCGCGAGGTCAGGAGTTTGAGACCAGCCTGGCCAACATGGTGAAACCCTATCTCTACTAAAAATACCAAAAATTAGCCGGGCGTGGTAGCAGGTGCCTGTAATCCCAGCTACCCAGGAGGCTGAGGCAGGAGAATTGCTTGAACCCAGGGGGCGGAGGTTGCAGTGAGCCAAGACTCCACTGCACTCCAGCCTGGCGACAGAGCAAGACTCCGTCTCAAAAAAAAAGAAGTAACATGTATCAATATTTATTGAAGCCTTGTATGTGCCCAGTATATTACACATGTTATCTTATTTAATCCTCAGGTTCACCCTAAGAGAAATATATTACTTTCATTATTTTACAGGTAAGGGAAACTGAGGTACAGAGAGGGGAAGAGCCATGATTGACTCCCTGCAACTCATCTGGGAGGGCACCCAGATTTACATTCGGATCTGTTTCACTACAAAGCGGTGCCCTTGACTTAACACTCCATCACTTTCCATACAAGCTTCAAACTGAACTCCACCTTCATTAGCTTGGTGAGCGCAGACCACCGAACACTTCTAACATCTCTCTTAGAGGTTATGTGTTGGCTCCTGCGTTCAGAACTATCCTAAAAGTAACTGAAACAAGGGGCTTTTGACTCCATGGATAAACAGTTCCTGGGGAGTAGACCTTGATTCTAGCCATTACTTAGAAAACAAATCAAATTCGTAGTCAGACTAGTGATGTTGTTGGAACTTTTCAAACATGAAGACTCATGTATGGACATATATGCTTGGGACCAAAAGCACTCTCCTTTTCCAAACAGCAACCTACACTTGACCTTTTGAGAGGCTGAGCTGTTGCTGAGGACTGTTTAGATGGAAGATTTGATTGTTGGTTATGAAGGCACCGAGGAAGAGACAGGATGGTGTCCCAGGATGGAAGGAAGGCTCTGGACATCAGAACTTTGGGCCACTGTACTGCTGTGTAAATTTGCAAAACCTACTTAATCCTTATGGCCTATTTCCTCATCTGGAAAATGAGTTAAATGAGATCCACTTTATAGAATTGTTGTAATGATTATATAAGTAAACACATAGTAATGTTATTTGATTTTATTATTATTATTATTATAATTTGTCACTCTAAGCATTTAGCTTTGGTGTCTCCAATATTCAGTACTCACATTCATGTTCAAATTTGGATGCTAGGTAGAAATGAAGACTTTGTATCTGCCACCAGAGAAGGCTATTTATTGTTTGTCATTGCCTGTCACAAACTCACAAAGATAGTATTTGTCTATCCAAAGGTACCTAATTCCTCAGTTTCTTATGTGACTATAAAGGGGCCTACTTTGATCTTACCATGAACACAAATCCTTTTGAAATTTCAATTTGTCAGTTTTGATATTTGCTCCTCTCTCTTTTCTGCTCCTCTTATCCAGGAAAGGAGGCACATTGTAGTTTTTGACTTAATAATGGGACCTATGTTAATAGTAAAGAAAGTTCAGAAGCCAAGAGAAAACCCGTGAAATGATAAAAAAGGTAGATGGATATATTTTTTAAAAATGTTTTGTCAAACACCTTTGAATTGGCACCATTGAGAATACCTTTCAACATGTGGGTTTAAGAAAACATTTTGCTTTATAAAGCCTCAGAGAAAATCTTGTGATAAAATTAGTCAGAGTTGCATAGAAATGGATTAAAGAAGGAACCAAAGGATTTAACTCATCAGCAAGAGCAGATAAAACCAGGTGCTCGACCTGGAATTCCCACAGGGTCAGGCCTCTGGAATTCCCACAGGGTCAGGCCTCTGGGTTTCCCACAGGGTCAGGGCTCTCCTCAGTGTTTTTTCACTGCTGGTTCCACAGATAAGAGGAGATGGGTGGAGAGATATGTTGTCCTGTACCGCTCACTTGCACAAGCAGACCACAGTTGGGAGGAGGTCCACTAGTATTTGAGGAAAACCATTTAGAAGTGGACATCTTAGGTTGGGAATTATTGAAAAGCATTAGCCCATTAGCTGTGAGAGAGATGAAAGATCATGAATCAGAGCGATATTAGAGTTTTCCTTTATCTGGAGCTGGATAGCCCTAAAATGGCCAGGGAGGTGGCGTAGATGGCCACAGTGGATAGTGCATTGTGAGGCTTCCAGCTGGCTGGAGTTGTCCAAGGAAGATGGACCCATCACGGGCATGGGCTTCCCAAAAGGCTTGTCATGGTCCAAATGCTTCTCAGTTATTGGAAAAACATGGTGTTCAAGGGCTGGGCTATCATTTGGATCTTTCCTTGAGATCACTAACCCTGTAATGAAGAAGCACCTTGTCACTGGATACAATGTTGGTTCCTGGCTGCTGGGGACATTCTAACTCTGGTGGAGAGCTAACAACAAAATGAATCACCTTACATTTGCCTGCTGTGCCTTTCGCTTAAGGCTCTGTCTCTATCACAGGGTGTCTATGGACAGTAGTTGGCTCCCAATGTAATAGGCTGGCTTCAAGGAGCTAACTCTCCATTCCTCTGTGTTACAGAATACATGCAGACCAAAGGAAGATGCTTATCTGCCTGTCTGGTCCATCCAGAGTCATCACCTTCAAATACACTCTAACCCCTGGAGCCCTGTCTAAGCTCACACAAAGCCCATTTGGTGATCTCTTTGCATGGATGCGTGAAACAGTCCTCAAGGAATAATCTCACCCTAGTAGGCTACAGAGAAACCATACACACATACCCCAAACAGTGCAGAAAGTGCAATAAATCTTACAATCAAATAAAAACTAAGTGTTATGAGAGCAGAGATGAAGAAATGAGGAATTCTGATGAAGAAAAAGGCAGTCAGAAATTGAGAAAACCTTCTTAGGGGAGCTAGCAATTGAGCTGTGCCTTGAAGAACACATATCTAGATGGGCAGAGACAATGAGAGAGCTGGGAAAGGGGAAGGATTCCAGGAGGAGGGAACAGTGAACAAAGAGCTGTAGGCAGGACCCAGGAGTCAAGGCTGGAATGTGTGCGGAGTGGAAAGGGAAAGTAGGGGGAGGCATCAAAGGTGTGTTGAATAGCCTTTAAGTTTTCAACAAATGACAATTATTGTACAAAGCACAGGCTTAGCCACTGAGAAAGGAGGGAGGGTTACAAAATGCCCACATATCTTAAGTCTTTTGTTCTCCCTGGGGAGAACCTTGGGGCTGTTTTGGGACCATCAGTGGCCATGAGTTTTCCATTGCTTAAGTTCTCTCTGACCATCTCTCTTGCTCCTGTCTTTGTTTGTTGAACCCTGATGTTGTGAACCATCTGACCCTTTCTAGTCCCCAATTCTTGCCTAGTTTTTGTTGACTCTGACTGACTTGTACAGCATCTAGTTCTCTGCCTATAAATATAAGGTGACCTAATCCTTCGATGCTCTGGCCGGCCCTGAGTGGAGTTCGTCTTCATGTGAATACAGACATCTTTCGCCTTGGTAGTTCTGGCTTCTGCTGAATGTTTTCTCCCTCCAGGCACTCACTTTGTTGTTATGTAGGCACACAGTTTCAACCCTGGGACTGCTTGGAGTGTTACAGATGCATCAGGAAAAAAAAAAAAAAAAAGACCAAAACCAAACAAACAAAAAAAGCAAAAAAAACTACTAAAAGAGTTCCAACTTCAATGAGTAATGAAGTTGCATGAATCCTAACTTGTGGTTCCAAAGGATTTCCGTAAGCCTCTTGATTTCCAAATGAGAAAATCATGATAAGCAGTTAATTAGCTCTTTAAGCAAAGGCGAGTCACCACAGACACTGCTGTGCACTCCACGCTCTCAGGAGAGGGAGGCCACTGCCACATTCTGAAAAACATGCAGTGCAAGCATGAAAACGGAGTTCATAGAAATTCAAGTAATGTCCTTTGACTTTTCATTAAGCTGGGCATGTCCCAGTTACCCCTTGGGGACTTTCTTAATGTTATCATGGCAACATACAATTAAGTCAGATTACATTTTTTATATGCAGGGAGAGGTGCTAAGATACTATTCTAAATTATTCATCAGTTCACTTTTCACAAAACCACCCCAGATACGACTTTAAGATGTGCAATATTAAAAAAAAAACCAGATAATTTGGTACTGCTATATCATGTAAAGAAGCCTTTCTTCCTTTCCCCAGGGAGAACAAAAGACTTAATGGAACTCCACATGTGTCACTGTGCTTATCACAATTTACCGTATTACTCTGATTTATGTGGCAAGTGGTGGACTCCTCGAGAATTAACAGAAGTTTTCTCCCCAGGGCTGGAATATTTTGATTTCAGCATTATAAAGCCAGGGACAGCTCTGAAAAGGAGCTCAATCATTTCTTTCTCTGTGTGTGTGTGTGTGTGTTTGTGTGGGGGTGGGGGCAGGGGTGTATGTTGACCCTTGGTAATAATAAAACAGTCATTAGCGATTTATTAAGGGTACTGATTACATATAGGCACCTCCAGAATGGCATCACACTAGCGAGTCTTCAGGGTCTCCCTTAGTTTTCCGAGAAAAACTGAAAGGAGAGAGAACGAATTGGGATGCTGAGTTATACGGCTGGAGGTCAGCCCCAGTGGGGTAGAGCTTAGTGTTAGGAGACACTCTTTCACGGGTTTCTTGCACTCCTCTACATCTTGCAGAGTATGCCAAGATTACAAGGCCCTGATCACTCTTTATCTAGGCCATTTCTCAAAATTTATTTGCAGCAAGCGTCCTTGAAGGATGAGGTAATGTCTCCTCCAAGAAAGAGAGCAGCCTTTCTTACACACTGCTGTAAAGCGACGCATTCCCTGAGTTAGTATTTTTCACTTCGAATGCATCTCACTTTGTGTGCATTCATCCAGATTCACCTGTGCTGGCCCTGAGGTAATTGGGGCTCGGTGACCGTGATGATGCTCTGGCTACTGATTTTGTTGTGAGTGAAAAACAGCTTTTTTCTCTGACTCAAGAAAGCAGCCATGAAATGGTGGCAAGTTAACTTGTTAACTTGCAAGTAATGTAACATCTCGAAGCTACATAGACCCTGACAATTAATGTATAATGCTTCCAGTGGCTTCTCTTTCCCTTGCCTATTCTGAAGATAAGATTCTTCTTGTTGGAATATCCTATTTTACTATGCTCAGTTCTCAAATGCTCTTAAACCCTAGGTCTGAGTAGGAACCTTCTTTATTCTCAGGCTCTCAAAAAGGAGAGTTTATCATTGACCACTAAGAAATAAAATGCCACACATAAATTCCTACTGTGCTAGGCTTTCTCTAACAGGGTGTACTCGATGAGACTTGATTCATCGACCCCTGTGGGCAGGCTAGATAGAATCTTTGATGTGTGGAAAATAGTTGCTCCCTTGATCTTACATGTTCAATTGGTTTTGTTTTGTTTTGTTTTTTTTTTTTTGACGGAGTTTCACTCTTGTTGCCCAGGCTGGAGTGTAGTGGCGTAATCTCGGCTCACCACAACCTCTGTCTCCCAGGTTCAAGCAATTCTTCTGCCTCAACCTCCCGAGTAACTGGGATCACAAGCATGTGCCTCCATGCCTGCCTAATTTTTTAATTTATTTTTTATTTTTAGTAGAGACGGGGTTTCTCCATGTTGATCAGGCTGGTCTCGAACTCCCGACCTCAGGTGATCTGCCCGCCTTGGCCTCCCAAAATGCTGGGATTACAGGCTTGAGCCACCGCGCCCGACCACGTGTTCACTTTGATGACATCATTATGGGGCTGGGAGAAAAGTCCAGGTGCTTTATTTATCCACTTCTGGGCACATCCCCAAATTCAGATTCAGGGTTCCCTGGAAACCATGCCTTTGACAGTTACTTAGATGGTGGGTCCCAGGCACTCATTTGTAGGCGTTTTTCTGTTGTTTATGGGACATGTGAAAACGTGTGAGCCTGGGCCGATGAGCAATGGAAACTCCTAGTTCAGCACTTCTCTCCTGTCTACCAGGAAGTGGTTGTTTTGCGTTTGTTTTGAGAAGAAATGTGATTCTCTCCAGTCCTCCCCCAGCTGAAATGCCTGCTTTTATTACTACATCATACTACTGAGGGGCCAGCCTGGCCAAGGAGTAGGTGACAACAGAACTGCACCTACTACAACCACCACATTCCAATGACTATTGTTCTTTGTATGTTAATTGTCTCCTATGCACCAGACTTCTTAAACCTATGATCTTTATATTCCACAGCAGCCATGAGAACTGGGTATCACACTGCCTACTTTATACCCAAGGAGACAGGAACTAACTGGGTCACATAGCTTCAGTAGCTTCTGAGTGCCAAAGCTAGGATTGTAAGTCAGAGCTCTTTGAGTTCAAAATCTTTCCAGTTTATACTGGTGCCTCTCTAGTCCCACTTTCTTTGTAAAGGCTCAGAAAGATGAGATGTGTTCTGTAAAATTCATGAAGACCTTCATTTCTCAGTTCAAATGCCCCCAAATAATCCATATCACTTATAGAATAGAGTCCAGTCTTCCTGCCTTTCAGTCAATTCTCTCTGTAGTATTGCCTCAATCTTCTTTTTAGCCACATTTCCCACTCTTCACCCACAAACAGACCTTATACCACAGCCAAATGAAATATTAGTAATGCCCTGTAGCGTCATTCATTTTTCTCACTCTGTGCTTTTGCTTAGATATCCCAGCCTGAAACAGCCGAGTTTTTTCTCTTAACAACTCCCTGAAATCCTACCATCTTTAAAGGTCTTAAATCAAATATTACCTCCATGAGGCCATTTCAGATTCCCACAACTGGATGTGAACATTTCCTGTTTTTGACATCACACCCTGTTTCCATGTCTCAAAGCTCTGAACACACGTGGCCTTAGTGCACCTTCCTCCTTCTAGACTGTGCTTTTGAAAAGCAGGTTGTCCTGGGATCCCAGATCTTTCTTGTGCTCTGGATCCGTAAATCTTACTGCCTACCAAATATCTTCCTTGGGGAATTCTACAGAGAAATTCTCAACTTCGATACAGCCAGAACTGATCTAATCTCCTTCACGAATATAAGCCGCCTCCAGTGCTCCAGTCCCAGTCAATGACCTTCCTACACCCATTTGTCTAAGCTAGAAATAGGAATATCATCACTTACCCTTTTTTCTCCATCAGTTGTCACATATACTCAGTCATCTAATCCTACTGCATCTACCTCCAAAATACACCCCAAATCTAAGAATTTCTCTCCATTTTGCCTGTATTTTCCCAAGTCTAAGTGACTATCATGTCTCATCAGATTACCATAGCACCTTTCTTTTTTTTTATTTATTTTTTTATTTTTTATTTTTTATTTTTTTGACTTTTATTTATTTATTTATTTATTTTTAAAATTTATTTATTATTATTATACTTTAAGTTGTAGGGTACATGTGCATAACATGCAGGTTTGTTACATATGTATACTTGTGCCATGTTGGTGTGCTGCACCCATCAACTCGTCATTTACATCATGTATAACTCCCAATGCAATCCCTGCAAAATCCCCTCCCCCCAATAGTGGGTGGTCCCCCCGTCCCGCATATAGCCCCGGGTGCCGTGTGAGTTTGCCCGCGCTTTCCTGAAGTCCAAGGATTTCATTGTTTCAGTTCCCCACCTATGAGTGAGAACATGTGGTGTTTGGTTTTCTGTTCTGTGGATAGTTGCTTAAGAATGATGTTTCCACGCTGCTGATCCATGTCCCTACAACAGGACACCAAACTCATCCTTTTTTATGGCTGGCATAGTATTCCATGGTGTATATGTGCCCACATTTTCTAATCCAGTCTGTCACTGAGGGACATTTGGGTTGCTAATTGTGAATAGTGCTGCAATAAACATACGTGTGGCATGTGTCTTTATAGCAGCATAATTTATTTTATTTATTTTTTTTTTTTGAGACTGGAGTCTGGCTCTGTCCGCCCAGAGGCTGGAGTGCAGTGGGCCGGATCTCAGCTCACTTGCAAGCTCCGCCTCCCGGGTCCACGCATTCTCCGTGCCTCAGGCCTCCCGAGTAGCTGGACACAGGCGGGGCGCTGGTTCTGCGTGTTGGCGGCCGGGCACCTCGCGGCGCCGGCGGCCCGCGTAGTTTTTTGTATGTTTT